ACTCCAGTTTAACTATTTCATCCAGCCTGCAGCCCTCGGCTTGGGCACAGTGGCTCAGGTGGGCACTTGGGCTCTCGGCACCTCTAGCTTTGGGGGTCTGTGGGCAGGCTGCTGCAGTCTGAGAGCGGGGGGAGTCGCATTCGTCCAACGTAATGTCTGGCACGTCGTCTGACTGACTGTCGGAGCTCTCCAGGTCGCTCCGTATGCTCTCAGGCTGGGCCAGGGTGATGTCCCAGGTTTTACTGCCAATGCAGTCCTTTTGCTCACAGCTTTGGTGTTTGCACGTCTGCTCCTGCTCACCATCCTCTTCCTCTTCCTCCTCCTCTTCCTCTTCCTCATTCTCTGCCATTTGGGTGTGGACGTGCAGAGAGTCCTCTGTACTGCTGCCGCTGGCCAGCTGGTAGTGACTTGGTTTGGCTTCGATGTCCACCTGGATCTCCATGTTATTGCACTCCCTGCAGAAACAAGCACCCTTGCGTTACTGGGTACGGTTACTGGGTTCAACGGGGCCACCACCAGGCACGGCATCACTGTACCAGCAGGACCACATTTCCCAAACATGAGCAAGATGCTGCTCATCACCCCACGGCATCTGGGAAACAACACCATTCGCTGCTCGTCCTAACAGCAGCCAAGATCATCCCCAGAACTGAACTGGGAAAGCACCAGAGTCCCCACCAGCAGCCAGGAACAGACCTTGAGAGCCCTGGGCTGCAGATCCCCTCCTCAGCCTCCACATTACATATGAAGGCTGCTCCCAAATTGTCCCCAGTTGTCCTTCTGTGCAGATAAAAGGATCAATCCGCTTGCCAGCAGGCTGGTGCAACTACAGTCATCTCACCACCCACAGCAGCACCTCACAGAGCACAGATTTTTTCCAGGACACCCACTACCACCAGTCTTCTCACCATCGCATGTCCTCCTACCTGTCCTGGGGGTTGTAGGAGCTGATGATGGAACCAGCCATGGCTCGAGTGCTGGCGTTGTCACTGATAGCCCCCAAGCTTACTGAGTCTTTGGGGAAAATCTCCTTCTGGACATCTGCCTGAACTTCCAGCCTGCAGGAAAGAAAAGAATTCCTCAGAAACACCTTAGATGGTCCCCAAGGGGCATCAAACAGCCCCTGTTCATCATGAGAAAGAAAGAGGCCCTCTGTGCTGGCTCAGCTCAGCATGACAGAGTTTAACCCTAATGGGTCCTCTCATTTAGTCTCATTTTTGGCTCCATTTAGGTAAACGCATTCTGTTTTCCATGATGAAGGTAAAGTTGTGTTCGCATCTATGACTCACACAGTTCCTGCAAAGAACTGATTTCCAGAGATCTAGCACAAAGCCATGACTATATCCTGGCTGCCGTATCGACACGTGTCTCTAATTACCCAGCAAACTGACTCACAGGCAAGTTCGGAGGAAAACTGCGGCGTAACCTCCTGACTTGGAAAGCAGTGATCCTGCTTGCTATAGGCCACTGGAGAACAGAACGCATCAAAGCCTCTAGGCTGAGATCAGAGGACTGGAAGATCTTTAAGCAGGCCACGCAGGCATCTCTGCACTGTTCCCAATTAACCTGAAGCATCAGCTCTGCAGTTTCAAAGGAGCTCAGTAGGGACAGAAACTTGTTTATCTTTTGTCCTCCTTGCAAGAACCAGCTTAGCACTGACTCCAGAAGTAGCCTGGTCTGCTCCAGAAGCAGCCTGGTCTGCCGAGACTGGTTATTCTACAACAGACCAAGAAGTAAAAATACTCCCAAGTCAAAGAAATACCGCTCAGCGTCCTGGAGGGCTCTCCCAAATAAACCTGCTCAACCAACACAGGCCTTGGGAGCTGCTACCCCTTTCCTGCTGTGCCATCAGTTCAGTTACCTGCTGTACTTCCCCTTGCCTCCCGAGAGGACACCACCACTCAGGGTACCGCCTGAGAGGGCAGCGAAGCTGGCCGTCTCACTGTAGTTGCCCTGCATCACGCTGAGCCCAGCGGGGGGGCTGCCGCTGGTGCTCAGCACGCTTGTCAGCCCCTCAATGCTGCTTTCACCAATGCTGGGGTTCTTCAGGGCTCGCCAGGCATCAGCCACTGCAGGGAAGAAGAGCACAGGAATCGGAATCAGCAAGGGAACCGTTCGGCTGCGATGGTGCTGGCAGAGCAGGGGGTCAGAGAGCAGGCAGCATGTGTCTCGTCCCAGACTGCCTCCCTGCCTCGTCCAGGATAAGGAAGAGCTGAGATTTTGCTTTGAGAGCTACACAGCTGATCACCAGAAGACTGGAGCAAATAACTGCTTCTAACCAAACCCTTCCAGGTAAAGACAGATGTTCAGATTTGGGAAATGTTAAGACCCCCTACTATTTCATTACAAGAAGCAATGACAGGGTCTTGCTTCACCCCCTTCCCTTCACCAGTTATCACATTACCTGTGATTGGTCCATCATCTTCATCAAACTCGATTTTCACACCCTTTCCATTGGCGGTGCTAACTCCACAGCCACCGCCTCGGCACAGCGAGATGGGCACAACACCGTAGACATATGCCAGCATGATGGGGACTCCAATACCTGGAGAGGATGCGCTTAGTTAAGAGGAGCTTAAGGCTGAGCTGTGTTGGGCAGAATAAAGGACTCTGGAGTAGGGACTGTTTCAGTTGGCTTTATGCTGCTTTTAAGGGTCCTAGTTCATGACTTTGCAGATAGACAGGAGAGGAGCCCTTCATTTGTGCTGCTGCAGTGCAGAATGAAGGAACCCCAAGAGCACAGCCAGCCTCAGCTGAACCCCCAAGACATCAGACACCAAACCAGTCCACGGGTAAGAGAGAGCTCCATGTGTCAAGGGACTCCACTACGGGCTATGGCACAGGCAACTGGTGCTCCAGATGAGCCCTGTGCTGGCTCCAGGCCAACTCAAGCACATGAGGATGTGCAGCCTGGATGTGAAACGGAGGGAATGTGCCCAGAAGAGCACACAGCGGCACCCCACAAACTGCCCTTTGGCCACCCCAATCTCACAGGGCTGGGCTACCCACTTGTCTCAGTGACTACTGGCTCATGAGAAGGAAAAGGGACTGTGTCCACTTACCAACGCTGACAGCAGCGATGACTGGAGAGGCAATGACAGACAAGGTGACCCCACCAGTAATGGCCAAGTTCCTCTTGTGCTTAGAGGTTTTCTTTCCCTCATACCTGCTGTGGATCTGACAGAAGGAGAAGCACCGGGTGAGAACAGAGCCTGGCCACGAGCAAACACCAGCAGAAGACATTACTAAACTTGTGATTTTACAGTCTTTGTCAGCTGCATTAGCCCTTAAAGAACCTCACCTTGACCACAGATCTCCTCAAAGATCAGATCTAGCAGGTGGGTCTGTGTTTAAGAAAAAGCAGCAGCTACAAATATAGTGCTGGCATGCCACTTCTCCCCTCTCAATGCCTCTTTATCAGCACAGACACACAACAGTGTCATGCAGTTTGGGGCAGCAAGTCAGCATCAAAACACAGGAGTGACTTATGCAAGCCAAAGTGTGATTTTCCAGGTCCAGCCACTGTCCCATAGAACCCATCATCACAGGATGTGTTAAAAAAGGACCAGGTTTCTCCTTGGGTGCTCCTGGTTCAAGGCAGAGGCACAAGAGCAACACAAAATGTATTTGAGAGGACTTCAGCCTGAAGGGCTATCAGCCACCACCTCCACTCTCCCCACACAAAGCCCAAAGCATAAAACAAGGTTTAGAACCAAAATTGAGCTGTCTCTTCTATGAAAAGAGCTCTAAATTTCTGGTCAGATGCCTTGAGGACAGAGAACGCCTCAAAAGCCCTGGATCCTTCAGCTCCAACCTTGCACTCTCCACACTCACCTTCCTCCCAACATACACAGGGATGCCGATGACCATAGCAGG